TAGCCTATGTTTTCACACTCTCTACCATCGGCTCATACATTCACCTCTGTCGTTGGCTCGCGTATACACAGTGTTAAACACAAGAAATAGTGCGTTTATTTTAATTCATTATAATTCAATTTCTATGCTTATGTCTGAGTTTTGAGATAGATATTTACTAAATCAATACAGAACTATTAATTTAAATTGAAACAATCCTTCAACTATCACGTTTTATACGTTATGTCAAAAATCTTGACGTGAGCCCATCGCAGAGGTGTCTGAGAGAGGAACGAACGACAACTCTGCATGGGAGATTGATGTTTACAGGCAGACAGTAAACCCGCGATCTACCTTAAATCTTTTACCCAATCAAATGACGTCAGTCGTGTTACAACTAAAATTATATTACAATTAAATAATGAAGAATTTTTATGCTCTCTGACTGGTCTAGGTTTTCTTTACTGAAGTATTCCTCAGAGTAAGTTCATTTTAATGAAGTTCCCATAGATTTATTCCAGATTTCCATCATGACCAACAACAAAACATTTACTTACTTTTCTTCCAACGAATAAAATTGTGTCTTTATTCAAGTGTGTGGCAAGTATAAATTGTTGTAAGTAAGTAAGTAAGTAAGTAAGTAAGTAAGTAAATATTTTATTATAGTGACATGTGTATACAGTAATTTTTAACATTCGATATACAATTTAACATATATGTGGAACACCCGGCCCATCGGACCTATAAGTCACTTTTAGCAATAGATATACAATAATTACATGCGTGTGATTTTTCTTTGTCTTATATTATAGGCTTTATAAATAAAATTTGCAGATTGACGAGGGAAATGAGTTAACAGATATTTAAAGAGAACATTCAAATCATTATAATGTAAATTTGAAATTCCAATATTTCTTAGAAAGTCTTGTCTACAGATTTTATATAGATTGCATTTTAAAAGAAATTGAAGTTCATCCTCTACTTCGTTTTGATCACAGAGGTTACATATTCTGTCTGGAATTGGCTCTCCACGGTAGCGACCAGTCTCGATACGCAGGGGGAGCACCCCACACCGGAATTGCGCCATTGTAGACCTTACTGGTTTCGGCAAGTCCATAGCAACGTATTGTTCAAGACCGTAATCTTCCTTAATAATGCAATACGTTCGTAATTTTGCAGATTTTTGAATATCCGATTGCCATTTGGATTGCTGATTTGAAAGTTGTTTTTGGATAAAAGTTTGAGTATTACAAAACTGCATATTCTGGAAAATGTGGTTTAAATCTGTGTTTTCAAAGAGAATTTTCATATGATGATACCAGCTGCGGGAATTATTTTCATTACAAGACGCCATAAATATTTTCTTTGTAATCCTATCGTCATCCATGAGGATCATTTTATTCCAAAGTCGCACCATGTTAGTTTTGTGTCGCAGACTGGCGGCTGACCATCCACACTCACCACGTACAGCTAAGAGAGGTGTTAACCGGTGAACCCCAAGGAAGTATCGTTGAGCCCGATCCTGTACCATATCAATTTTGTGCGATGTTTCATATCCCCACACACCGCTGCAATAGTCTATTACGGGAGAGACACAGTTATGAAAAAGGGTTTCAAATGTGTTGAATCCAACGTGTTTAAGATGATGAATCTTTGATATCATTGCCCCTAGTGCGCGGCCTCCTGATTTTGCGAGGTTTTCTATGTTTGTCTTGAATCCCCTGTTGTCATCAAATATAACACCTAGATATTTGTAGGAGGAAGCATACTCCAGAAAGTTGTTTCCGAGGTAGAATTTGTAGTTGCTCTGAGAGAGATTCCTTTTTCGAAAATGCACAATTTTAGATTTTTCTGGGTTTACCGTTATGTGCCACTTTTTGAACCATTTCGAGACAACGTTTAGACTATCCTGCATATCCTTTTCATTACCAGCAATAAGTGCTATGTCATCTGCGTAAAGGAGAATATTTAGAAAAGTATTGTCCATTTCATCGCCTCTACCGAAGGAATTAATTTCTTTAGCTAGGTCATTAATGAATAGAGCGAAGAGTGTGGGGGAGAGGTTGTCTCCCTGGCGGACTCCGGAGGTGCAACGAAACCAATCCGTGTAGTACCCTGATAACTTTACACAGGATTCCGTGTTTAAATATAACGATTTTAGGGTATTATAATAATTTCCATCTACTCCGTTACGTAGTAGACAAAATTCTAATAATTCCAGGTCCACTTTTTCAAAAGCTTTCTGGAGATCGGTAAATGTAACAAATGTAGAATCTCTGTTTTGTATCACATTATTCAAAGTAAAGATTTGGTCTTCACAACTTCTGTTTTTTCTAAATCCATTTTGTTCATCAACAAGTATTTGATTGTCTTCCAAGTAGTTTGACAGCCTGTTGTTTAGGACAGAACTAAATACTTTAGACACAACAGACAGGAGACTTATTCCTCTGTAGTTCATGGGAATTCTCGGATCAGAATTTATATCTTTCAATATTGGAAAAATGATAGCCTTTTTCCAAGTTGTTGGGACGATGCTACTTTGGAAAATACTTGCAAATAGTCTGTGCAGGACATTTACTACCGATTCATATTTCAGTATTTCGTAAGGTAATTCGTCCACCCCACACGATTTTCCATTTTTAGTTTTATAGACAACTTTTCTGATCTCTTCAATATTTAAAGGTTTATTCAACACGGTATTTGTAGAATGTGATGAATCAGACATTGCTATTTCTAGTAATCTTTTATGTTCCATGGCTGTTGTTTTAAAATCCGTATCAAATGAATTGTTTTCGTTCGAATTATACAGTTGAGAAAATTCACTTTTCCACTTCTCTTTTATTGTTGCTACGTCAGAGATCACTGCACCATCGTCTCCGTAACATTCATTGGGAAATGTCGATTTTTTTTTGGTCCTAAGTGTTTGATTTTGTCCCAAAATTGACGTGGATTACTTGAAGACATGCTTTGTAAATGTAAATATAGCAGATGCTTGTATGAAGGAGACTAAATTCACCTAATACTAAGTAAATAGTTAATTGTTGTTGTATTGCATTGTGTTCCACTTTTAGTTGTTAAATTGATGAAATACAATTACACGTATGCGTTGTTACTTGTACTTCATATTTAAGAACCCTCTCTACACTGCACACTAAAGAATTCCGATTCTAAGGTATTTTTTGCGTTAGAGTGATCTGCCCTTAGATCTTAATTCTAAAACAGAGAAATGTTACTCAATTTGTAATTGATTTTAGTATTGTTGACATTTCAAATGACCAAGATAAATTAACTGAACATGTTACTTCCATGTATTTTCTCTACTGAAAGAAATTAACAGTGATTTTTATTCACTGATACTGTGTTGTCTTTGAACATTTTTCCCGGGGGTACATGTATATGCCACGCACCATACAATGAAAATTGAATAAAGAAGCTTAATATTACCTCCTTTATACAATATATTTTTCTTAATGTCCAAAAAAAAATTTTGCACTTGAAGTTGTGTAGAGAGGGTCCTTAAAATGTTTGTATTGTGAGAGACAAAAACTTGTGGCAATTGTACATGTAGATGATGTATTGAAGACGACAAGTAATCTTGGTTCATTACGCGCATCGTTATTTTTTTTTACAATTATATCGTGTTCTACAATGCGTGTATCCTATCGTGTCATGTAACGATGTGGGTAGTGTACATCAGAGAAGGAGTATTGCAGATGATGAAGGTCCTCATACACCGTATTTATTTACTTATAAATAACTGTGTGTTTCAACAAAAATGTATCCGGAACATTAACTATCTAAGCTGGATAAATTAAATAAAATATATTAAAAACATGATACTAAATACTTATTATGTTCACGTTTCAAATGCATTTAAAATATTCGAATGAATCAGACCAATCAAATGTGCGAGTTTTTGTAATATATTCATACTTTTCATCTGATGTTGCTTTGTAGTTATAAATACATGAATGTTTATTTCTATTAGGCAATGTTACCACTATCAATGACTGTTGGTGAAGAGTGTTTATTTTCTACCAAATTAATACTTCCAAGAAAAAGAGAAATAGCTATTTCAATGTGACTGGCACCTAGGGCTGAATCAATATATCGATACGTATCGATATTCAAGAAAAATACCGTATCGAACAGTAACTTCCAATACGTATCGGACAGACATTTTTTCTTCAAAATCTGTGTAAAAGATGGGAATTTTAATCACCAAATATTATATTTTACCTTTTTAAAATTAAAACCTTCAATAATTACATAATTTCTAAGGAAATAACAGTTTTTATAATTGTTACAAAATACAAAGAGAATTTTTTTTTTGAACATGTTGATTTTACTGTCATCTAAAGTTTAAATTGGAGTGTTATTTTTAAAGACAATGAGACAAAAACATTATAAAGGGTAATAAAACGCTTAATTGTTATGAAATGTATGCATTAAAATGATTTAGAAGCCTTTTCTGATGGACTTGTTTCAGAATCCAATATATCGCATATCGCTTTAAAAAATATTGTATCGTATCGTATCGAAGTTTTTGTCTCAATACACAGCCCTACTGGCACCCAGAGGTAAACTAATGTATCTACCCAGGATACTATACATTCAAATCATTGTATCTATCCAGAATACAATACATTTAAAGCATTAATAAAAGCCACAGTCCTATACACTTCGACTTTGGCAAATTTCTCCAAAAAACTAAAGTTTACATTTTTTTGTTTTTTATCTATCGATATTTATCCAATGATCAGTGCGCTTTTTTGTTTGTTTATTGTTGATTTGTTGTTGTTGTTGTTGTTGTTGTTGTTGCTTTTTTCATTAAAATACTTATATAAATATTTTTCATTGGTGTTTTCTCAAAAATTAATTTTTTTTTTTTTTATTTGTAACTGCATGAATTTTAGTTTAAAAAAAATTAAAGCTATGCAAATTAAGACATTTGTGGGTATATTTTTTAGCAATCCCCATTAAATTTGCAATAAACAATTAAAAAATCAATAACATGCAGAAATGTGGAATTAATGACTATTTATTAAAATAATAGAACTATATCACACTATTTTATATTCCCTAGTTAAGGAATATCTCATCAATACCAACACAAACAATCACATGTGCATTGCAATTGGTCATTTATATCCAACAATGAACTTGAATATAACTTAGTTTATTCATCTCTTTCCATCGTTAGAACATGTCTTGTTCTGGTCAGCCCTGATTAACTAGATGAGTTAGATGACGGTCTTTGTTTGTGGATACTTGGGACGTACTGAGCCGTCTCTGGACGCTGTGATGTAAACGATAATGTCGGCCATGAGCCTGTGGATCCTATAAATAAACAATGATAATTTGTAAAATATATGTAATAATGAGTTTTTAAAAAGCATTTTTTTATCAATTGTAAAATATTGATGTTTGTTATATTTATTTTTCTATCACACTCCTTGGAGATAGAACTATTTTTCCACATCTATTTCCAAGGCTAGGGGTCAACACTTTACTCATCAGATATTTTTTTTAGATTTTTCAAAGAAAATTAATACATTTAAGCTTAAAAACTTGACCATTTTTGTATATCTTTACATGGAACTCTTCTTCTCAAAGAGATCAATTTAGTCTAAAATAGCCACAACTACCCTCTCAAGGTTATAATTTACCAGAATCTGTACTGTGCATAGATGATTCCATCATAGCCTTCTCTGCAGACATGGCTTCTAACTTCTCCTTGTAGAAACCATTGAAATCCAGTCTATAAATAAACAATAAACAATTAACTTTTCCTTGTAGAAACCATTGAATTCCAGTCTATAAATATACAATAAACAATTAGCTTCTCCTTGTAGAAACCATTGAAATCCAGTCTATAAATAAACCATAAACAATTTGCTTTTCCTTGTAGAAACCATTGAAATCCAGTCTATAAATGAACCATACAGTAAATACATGCAACTTTGTACATGACTTGTCTTAAAAAATAACCACTTTTGAATGTCTTTTCAAAACAGTTTGACAGGAAACTTCGATTGCTGGTACCTTTTCAATACCTGAATAGTTTATATTTTTTACAAAAGAAAGAAAAAGTTACAAAGCTCCTTTCTTGATTATTATCAAAGCATATAGGGAAGTTAAAAATAAATACTGGATCCATTGTTTGTTTTACTTTCTAACTATGTTTCCTCCATTTCACTACTGACCTATAGAGAATATTAAGCAATTTCAAATGTCCGCTTTCTGAACTCAGGTCCATGATTTTCCTCAGTAAATCTATCAGTTTGCCTGAGAAGTTGTGGTCAAAGTTTGCAATCGTCCTCTCAAAGTTCTCACTGGCCATCATTAGATCTACATGCTCTGCAACAACCTGTAAATTGAAAGGTTATAAGTACAACTCTTTGATAGATAAAAACAATAAAATGAAACCATTAAAAAAAGTGCCAATTCTGGGATTGATAAATCAAAACAATAAAATGAAATAATTAAAAAATGTTTAAAACAAAAAAAAAGGATTTATGAGCAGCAGATTTCACAATGAGCATTCATCTTTCAGTATTTGAATAGGCAGGTTCTTTGTCTGATTTTAAAAAGAATTCTTAACAAAGTGATAAAACCAAGGGTATAAAGCAATAACCCGTGGTCGAACATATTATTTCTGTCAATACCTGTAATTACTTTCAATATGGCCTTTATGCATTATATCACATAATCTTTAATTAACATTCGTTCCGTTTTGTGTGATATTTTTTATGGTAATCTTCAATATGCAATGTTCATTCATCAAACATTGACAGTATGACAACTTCTACACCAAATTCATTATCCTTTGATCCAATCAACAAATGTTCACCATGAAGAAATATATCCCTGAATCAGTAATCGTACATACGATATACAAGTGTATATTTAACATTGGAGTTCTCTCTGCCCATAAACCAAACATGCTCAAAAAATTTGTCCACATATAATAGAGCCAAACCGTAAAGCAATTTAATTTTTAAATTGCATTTACAACTATGAACTTTGTTAAAAATGATTCTACAAAGTTTTATATAATTACATCAATATTATGACTAAATGAGGTCATGGGTATTTAGGATACATTAGGTGAGCTAAGATATATTTGTGAGTTCACCCATTGGTGACTGGGTGATTTTTTTCAGTGCCTATCACCAGCAATTGAATAATTTGAATCATCCCTTACCCTTATGAATCATTATAAAAGTGAATGCCTATGCATATAACAATCATGGATGCCCATTTATAACTGCAAACCACAGTATAATTTCCAATATTGTGCTCACAAGATAGATATAATTGGTACACACGTACTCCTTTTCTTTTTTTAATTAAATACTTACGGTCCTGTAATTTACCAGCTGTAGGAAATATTTTTAATGTTAAGAATTCTAATAATCTAAAGGAATCATATACAGTAGAAGTACATTTTTCTGCATGGTATAAGTTTACGCTATGTGTGCAGTCACAAATTAATATTCATGAAAGGTTTCGCGGAATTATGATCACGTGGAAAAAAGTATGCCTAATACTTTTATCCCAACTTATAGTTAAATTTTCTTTCAATTTTGAATAATTTAATGATAAGATTATTGTAATTTTTCTTTAAAAAAAAAAAGAAAGATAAAAGAGAATTATATTCACTTTTCATAGCACATACTTTGTTAATATAAATGTCAATTATTTTATTGATATTAATTTTGTTAAAACAGTTGAATTGATACTGTTTAACGTCCCTCTCCAGAATATTTCACTGAATTGAAGAACAGCTCATAAATATCTGAACAAGTCACCATGTTTAAATTATAGAGGGAAAAGATTAAAATTACTACTTGATAAAAATAAATGAAATGTCATGCTAAGAGAGACCTTTGTATATTCATATATACAATCAACTGACTTGAGTTTGGATTAAAAGAGATAGAGAAATGACTAGAACTAAAGGTTTAATATGAAAGGTTGAATAGTGTTATGATAAAATAATGATTAACAGGTAAACTTACATCCATGTTGTATGAGAGAAACTTCTAACAGAGGTAAAGTCAATCAGTCATACAAGTATTTTAGACACTGCTTGGGTCCAAATAATATGACACAAAGGTATTCATATGTACATAACATAACAATAAAGTGTACATGTAATGCACAATTCAAATCTCAGGATATATGACAGCTGTTTATTGGAATATTACTTTATATATCTAATTGCTTACACAGTTAAACTTTGTTATCTTAAACCCAATAGAACCAAAATAATTCTTTCAGATATCCAAGGATTTAATATTCCAAGTAAATGTGATTAGGAACTGCCATTACCTGACTGAAAATGCACAAAGATAAATAAAATTGTCTACAATTAATTTTTCATGTTCTCAACAATTAACAATTGACAAGAAAAAAGAACCCATTAAATTCAAGTGGTTTGACAGTGATAATGGTCAGTGATAGTTTGAAAGAGAAAACATACCTTTCTTTAGAGTATCCCTTTGATGCCACATTGTATTTTTTCACAGTATCATACAAAATGTTGGAATATTTTCTTATTATTCGAAATGTATGAACATGAATAAAATTCTTTTCCTACACCTCTAACTCATGAAGTAATAACCAAATTGGAATCTTAGGCCACACCAATTTGTAAACTAGTTCTTCGGATTTTCAAAATTAAAAAATGAAGCGAGCGAGCGAAATAATTTTTTTAATATTATTTTTTATTCTGGGTTTCAAAATTATGAGGCGAGCGAATATAATTTATTTTTTATATATATATTTTAGTAAAGTGTGATTTCAAAGAGCAAGGGCCTAAAAATAAAGACAGATATCATTTGCATACCACATGAACTTATTATTCTCAACTTTTAATGGCTATTTTTTTTTCAGTATGTATTATTAAAAAATAAAAATATATGTCAAGTTTCAAACACTTTACTTTCTTTCATACAAATGTAAGTGCAATGTTTTCAACAATTTAATGTCAGATCAGGTCTTTTTAAAGAATTTCCTCCCCCAGGTCCCTGCCTCATGTCCAGAGGACCTGTATTGCCTACAAATTGGCCTGACAACTGAATAGTTCTCATAACAATGTACAATGTAGTCATCATTGTCGTCTAACAGATTATCTTCTGTTCCACAGTAGAGGCACACAGGTGGCAAAAAATTTTTAAGATTTGCAGAATAATATGATATCTCTATGTTCGAATTGCAGGAGATGGTTCTCCGAACAACAAGTCCTTCAATGTCAACATCATCACCACATGTAAAAGCACCTTCCTCCTTCAGTCTTCGTAGGGAAATTTCCTGTGATATAAATTGACATTTTTAAAATGTATTCAAATTATGCAATCTTAAAACTTGATAAAATCTTTTATTAAATTTTCAGTGTTTTTTATCTAGCTTTGTAATAAATCAGCTTCAATATGTAGGGAACAAATGGACAATAGTTACATAATTATAATCACATAATTCTTTGGCCATTCAAGTAGAAACTCATACATGTATGCTGTAAGAAAGTTTTCTAACTGATTTTTATTTACTCAGAGAAAAGTACCTGTTCATGAGTAAGTTTGGATGGGGAAAACAGTAGTCTGGGTTTTCCACATTCGCCACAGGGGATGATATCTCTTGCTTTCTGTGTTTTTAATGTGTCACGATTCTGTTTATCTGCATTCTGTGCCTCCTCACTGAAGTTAGAATTCTGTTTGGATGATGGACGATGACTGTCATCCACGTTCTTTCCATACACCTAAACAATTTAGTTTTAACTAAAGTTTGAGTACACATTTATTTTTTGATAAAATTGTAGTGTCAACATCATGCAAAATAAAATTCATAAATGCATATTATGATGATTTCCTTTAAATTTAATTTTAATATAGAATAATTTAATTTCAATAAATGTTCGTACCTCTTGAAAAGTTTTATAATGAACACCACTGTCATCTGGTACTGGACATGGAAGAAATGAGAGACCAGTAAGTACATCATCAGGTAGTCTGGCTGGATTCATGGTGCAGTATGGACAAGGATTCTCTCCTACACACTTCATTATCTGGAAACTGTAGTGGGTGCTGATACAATGCATCTGTAGGAAATCCTGTAGAAATAAAATTGGGTATCGTGATCATAAAATCTACAATTGCACATTCTCAACTTTTAAAAAATTCTTTGATCTATGGTAAATAATAAATCAATTTAAACTAAATATTACTTGAAGCTCTCTACATTCTCGAAGATCCTTTGTCGATGCAGAGGTGTTGACTTTAGAATTTGATGCATGTGTAACTTCGTTCACAATCCGCATTCGTCTCTGTATAACGGATTCTTTGAGTCCAGTAGTGACTGTAATTGGTTCTCCTTTAAGTTTCATTCTTTCAAATCGCTTTCCCACTGTGTGAATCACTCGAGTCATACTCCTCTCTAAGGCCTGGTTTACAGTTTGCCATATTTCTAATAGCATTCAAAGAACTGCACCGTTTTACTATTTTCTCTAACTCTGGTGTCATTTCATCTCTAGCAAGAGCACTATGCTGGAGTGCTAAATTAAGAATAGACATGCAGCATTCTGCCGGATTAACCCAACTGTTGTTTGGTGCAGTTCTAATAGCAATCATCATATCCAAGTCCAGCTGCAGGAAAAGAAGAAGCAAAGAAGTTTTCACAGTTTCAAATGTCAATCTATGATGCGGCCCACCGTCCGTCATCAAACACAAAATAGGAACATCCAAGTCCACATCATTATCAGAATAATTATTCCTTAAAATCTTTAGCAATTCCACTGCATGCCTGTAGGGTGTAGAATGTTGAAAAACTTTGTCTTAAATAGTGACAAACATCTTTCCTTGGAAAAAGCTTCAGGTGTATCACACACTAAGGCAACAGATGGGATAATCCCAGCAATATGGAAGTCGTGGTCTGTACATGTAAGAGCTGGCCCATCTGCTGGAGCCATCACTTTGTTGTGGCCTCTGACACCAGTAGATACATGTATACGTCTCTGGCAGGAATTTGGGCGTAATTGAAAAGTAAAAATTTTATCGACATGTCACACGAAATTTTAACATTTGTTTTATTTATTGAGTTCCTCTGAAAAAGGAAAGGAAAATATTTTCCCGAAATTAAGCCTTGATTTGCAAAACCTTGAAAATTGGCCGTGCGTATTTTAATTCAAAGAAACGAATACACTCTTTTTTTTAAAAATGTAGAGAAGATCCAGAGACCACAAAAAATGAACTCTTCCCCAAAAAATCAAAATGTGTGAATGTTGTGCTTCTTTGTCCTTTTAAAATCATCTGTGTATGTGTTTCTGAGCGATAGCTCAGTGAATTGGGCTACTTGTTCAGTGCACTAGAAACGGAAAGTCTTTGGTTTGAGCATGGTATGAGGCTTTATTTTCTAAGTGTTTTTTTTTCATGCAAACCACCATTTATTTTCTCAGTTTCTTTTTATGCTGATGTATTAAAATTTTGAATTATAGATAAATTTCGGTTCAGTTTGGTTCTCGAGCGAAATCAATTCTTATCATATCATTATTCTTTAATGTACATGTACACGTATCATGCATTTAAATGCATTAATAAACATTTAAGATGCTTATTTTTCATGAAACATTAATATATTATAGTATCCTCTCTGAAAAACGATGACAATTTATACAATTTTAGAATATCAAAAAGTAAATAAATTACTTAATTACTGTAAACCAACTTATATTTGCGTGCGATAAATTTTCGTGAAGTTCGCGAGAGCCTCGTCATCACGAATATTTCTCGCCGCGAACTGGTCCTTAAAGTGTATTTGTTTAAGAACAATAGATCCAAAAGAGGTTGATTGCAAAAATTAATCGTCCTAAACTAGTTTATCCTCGGTAAATCGCGAAAAAAAAAGTTGTCGCGAAAAATAGTTGGTCCACAGTATTCATTAACTGAAAATTATATTAAAAGTTGTTTCATTTAAAATTTCATCTGCGCTTATAAAAGACATGACAGAAGTAAAATATTGATTTAAAATTGTATATTATTATAGTGGAATGTGCACATAATAAGTGGTTCATGTATACGGTATACAATTGTAAGAATAAAACGAAATAGAATATTGTGTCCTGATTTATAACACTATACCTTCGTGGTGATGTAAGGTATCATGTTTTATTTATTACACTATACGTGAGTGGTGATGTAGGGTGTCACGTTTTGTTTATTACAATATACCGGGGCGATGGTTTAGGGATATAACCAGGTTTGATACCATGAAGCATTTAAAATGCTGCCATACAATACTTTAAGTGCGTAGAAAGATTCCCATGGCTCAGGAAATTCTGTATAACCTGGTAGAGAAAAAATAAATGGTTATTAAGATTAAAAATCCTTGTGAATGCCTTATTTATATAATGTTGTAATTGCCTAATTTCTTTGACAATTGTATAGGTAAATGCATCATTAGAGAAGAAAGCATTTAGATTTATATTAACAAGTACTTCAACTAAATACATTTTATATGATGTAAAGATAGTCCATATGTAGTTACTCATTATGTATATAGAGGATATTCAAAGTTTTGTAGTTGAATATGCAATTTATTTCACGGGTTAGGACAGGATTTTTTGATATTTTGAAAATATCAAAAAATTTTGTCTCACGAGTGTTGAAACCATAAAATTTAAAACTATTTAAACCAAACAAATTCTGACCATAAAAGTGGGTTCAGCGGCAGAGGGGGATATTTGAGCATACGTAAATCTATATACTTCCTATGAATGCTTTTAAATTAGCATCATACATAATAGCTTTGCTGGTAATAAAATGAAAATTTTGATTGATATAACATTTATATCCCTTTGTTTTACTATGACCAACTTTATTAGCTCCTCTATTCTCCTGGTTGGTCATGATTTAAACAAATTTTAATATATACATTACGTTTTTGATGCTTTGTTATTTGATATTGACGATCAAGCATGGCTTTGTTGTTCGAGTGAAGATTTTAACATTTTTCCTATCTATCGATACATAAAACCTTGATCATCCATTGTGGCCCCACTCTACCCCAGGTGTAAATATTTGAACAAACTTGAATCTACACTTCCCAAGGATGTTTTTGTATAAAAATGAACAATCACTTTTGGTGTGCTCAATAAGGATTTTGAAGATGATGTAACACTTTATAAATATGAATACAACTTACTTCACATTAATTGGTCGATATTGTATCTCATTAGATATGCTTTTCATTATCAGAATAAATTTCCTTGTGTGTTAGTCTTGTTTAACCTTTTAATGCTCAGGGAATGCTAACTCCTCCTGATCCTATTTCTGGATTTCCCTGGGTTCTGTGTTTTTTTTTTCTGGTCACAAATTTGTAAATGTTTACTTGTAATTTGTATTGTATAATTGATTTTTATTAGGCCAATGACTGGTCGTAGTCTTCACCTTTTTCTTTTCATTTGTACACAAGTAAAAAGCTCCAAAGACAGTCTTCTTTTTCAGAGGGCAAGGGGGGGGGGGGTAGGTTTACAGTCTGAATGACATTACTGTGCATCTTTGTCCATAATATACTTCTATGAACTATTACATGTATTTATCTAATAAATTTTGTCAGTCCTCACAGAGTTAAGAAAAAAACAATTCTTTATCGAATAGTCCTTAAAGATTAGCTAAAATCTGCAGGCAACAATTTTTATTCTATGCTAACACTCTAGTTTAAAAAAAAAAGGGGGGGGGGGGCATTTTATGTCGAAAACGACCGGGCATTATACATGTACATCTAGAACACATGGCCATCTAGAACACCATAGAGCGATTGCTTCGTGATCGGGAGGTCGTGAGTTCAAATCTCGGCAGCGACTGACCTAAGTCGATACAAAATGGGTAGCAACTGTTCCTTCGCCATTTGCTCGGCACTTGATGTGAAAGTTGCAGGTTCTTCGGATGAGACCTTAAAACCGAGGATCCGTGCCATGGATCCCTTACCACTCAATGGCTGTGAGTGCTGGGTAAAGGTCAAAGGTAAAAATTTGATGCAATTCGTCGGTATTTGGTAGAATCTCTGAGTGAAAAATTTTAAATGGGTCAATGCACGTAAAATTACATAAATGCACAATAAATCAATCCAATACATGTGGTTTTTTCCAAGAAGCAGAAAACCGGGTATTTGAGGCTAAATATTTTCCGGCATGATTCTGATGACATCAAATCATTATAATCATATTAACTATAACGAAAATGAGAAACTCTTTATCAGGTTGGGGGGAAACGTAAATTCCGCTATAATAGTGGTATCTCACTAGTATAGTGAAATTACGCTATATTTCCTGCCGTAGATACCCTCAATTTCATCCGATACCATGCAAGGTGTTTGAACCGCAAGTCATGGTGAGTATTTAAATGGCCAAAACCTCTCATGCTTGCATGTTTTGAATTTTAATAAATTTTCTACTAATGCGACCACCCTTTTTTTAACGGAAGTTGCATTTTTAACATAGCAACCGATGATTAATTACAGGGTATTTAAGCTTGTTTGAATCTCATTTATTCCTCATTAAAGTGCACAAATTGTTGCTTGTTACAATTGTCTACTCGGAGTGGAAAGGGTTTATCGAATTAAACAAGAAAAGGATTATTTCTGTCTGCATGGTTACGGGTATGGAGGCTCGTTATGGTAAACGTAAAGACCCAATATGACAAACATAAAAAAGATTGATAAACTCGATTATATCTTCAAAACAAAATCAATGTATAATAAATAATCCAAAAATTACTTATAGAAATGATCGTAGAAAACATATCTTATTTTTAATTTTGGCTGGTTAATTGTTTAATTCAGAAAAAAAAAATACTCAATTTATGTTGGTGTCGGGAATATTTTACAAGAGTGCCTGTAATCATATTTTAACACAAGTTCAAATAATTATTAATTGACAATCTTATTTATTAACGCTTTATGTTTATGCACTTAGGCAAGAACGATTAAACTTTAAAATCTAAGAGAAATAGCTTTAGTGGGGGTTTTTTTTTGTTTGTTTTTTTGTTTTTTTTGTTTTTTGTTATTCGAACAATATATAAATCTAATTTTATTCATATGAAATGAAAGTATATCGCAAAGAATCGCACTAAAAGTATTAATTTTTCAGACTTTTAGATTTATACCAAAGTGTTGTTGTTTCAACCACAAGGAAACATCAAATAACCAATCGCCATTGCTCAATATTCAGAAAAAAGTGTCTAAAATATCATTGATTCAATTCAAATTTTCAACAATTAAAAATTGATGCAAAGCATCAAATTGGTCGCAAACAATTTAACATTTGTTAAAAAAAGTACTTTCACAATTTTGAAAGCATATCTATGCAATGGAAGCACAAGATATTCTAAGCTGAACTAGAATCTTTAGAAGCGTATATTTTCATCTTCAAAAAATTCTTCATATTGTTCATAATTGACTTTATTACATCGATGAGCCCATCTGATTAGCAAATGCATTAAAATCTCCTTTTACTTTTTTTTCAATTATTTATTTATATTGCTTTGAAGACAGTCAAAAATTAAAAAGACCGAAACACGTGCAGATACCCTGAATCTTTATCACGTGATAATGCCCTTGGTTTCTGCAGAATAGGCTATGATGCAAGGCGCTTTGCAAAATGTAGAAACAAAAGTATCCTTGCATCATTCGCAGCTGTGACATATTCAAAACAATGTTAACTAGTTGGAAGTTTTTCAATTTTTTTTAACCATGCACTATGAACCACGTCATTACTATCCGGAAAACCATTATCCCCTTTTATATCTATATATAGTACCTTTTGTAACCTCTTTTTATATACTAGTAGTCAAAATTATCAAATATCCTGATGTGAAATGACAATGAAATTGAAACATTATAACAACAATTAATATATAGTTTAAAGCAAATTTTACTTATGATTTTCTACATTTTATCAATAAAGAGTTATTTTACTGATCTCTTACAAAAATAAATTCTCATTTCCCATGTGAACTATCTAACACAACCACACGAAGATCGGCCGCACAAGCGGCGACCGATAATCATGGGTCTTTACGTTTATCATAACGGGCCTCCATACCCTTAACCATGCAGACAGAAATAGCCTTTTTTATGTTAAATTCCATAAACCCTTTCCAGTCCGAGTTGACAATTTTAACAAGCATCAATTTGTGCACTTTAATGTGGAATAAATGAGATTCAAACAGGCTTAAATACCCTGTAATCATCGGTTGCTATGTTAAAATGCAACTTCCTTTAAAAAATGAGTGCTCGCATTATTAAACACAACGGTAGAAAATTTTTTAAAATTCAAAACATGCAAGCATAAGAGGTTTTGATCATTTTAATACCCACCATGACTTGCGGTCCAAACACCTTGCATGGTATCGGATGAAATTGAGGGTATCTACGGCAGGAAATATAGCGTAATTTCACTATAATAATGAGATACCACTATTATAGCGGAATTTACGTCCCCCCCCCCCCAACCTGTTTATAGTATTATTGTACATCATCTCCCTTTGACCCACGTTTTATAAATGTCAATTTTTGAAAAGTTATTTGTAGTTTAATGTGCAGCATGGTATTGAAGTTTTTCATTTTTTATTGAAATCGTAACAAATCTTAAGATGTCATCTTCTCAAAATTCCAATATTTGTTACCATGACGACAATTTTCATAGAAATAAAGGACTAAAATAAAGAATTGTATATGTAAGTGTTCTCTACAAGTGTACCAATTTTTTTTTATTAAAATCAATCAAAACTGTAAGCTAGAAAGCAATTTAATAATTGTTTACTACAAGCAGGCAATTATAATGTTACAAGGCCTTACCATACTTACGGATGGCAGACATTTTGAAATTGCCAAACCCTCTCTTTCATATAAAATTATCCAGCAAAACTTAAAAGCTAATTGACGATATGCTTTAATTCAATAGCATCGCTTAATACTCTGTTATGGAATTGTTTTTTGTAAGTTTGTTTGTATTTCTGGGAAGTATAAAAGGAGAAAACGAAAATTTTGGCAATTTTAAATCTTATTCGTTTCTATGGCAACCGCGAAGTCATTTTACCTTACGTAATTAAATAGTTTAGGATTTTATCTTTCAGAAAAATAAAGGTTGCTTTACGTAAAAGTGACCAGAAAATGTCTAAATTTCTATTTGAAATTTTTTAGTCATTTTTGCAATAAAAACGCATAATCTCTGGTAGTTAAAGGGTTAAGGGGAAGGAAATATGTATGAAAGATAACAAGCCTTCTTTTGATAAACCCTATTATCTTTTCATGTAAGTGTTTATATTTACCTACATCACGTGAGAAGACAGCGGGTCAAAATACGGTATATCACATGGGAAGAAATAGTAAACACTGAATCCTCTGGGAGGCCGTGTTAAAAGGTGAGACAATATATATTAATCAAATTGGAGACTCTTACAAGAGGTTCATTTATCAGTATATTTGATGTTAAATGTTAATTATTTTTAAAGTCTTTAAATATGGTAGTTTTTATGTACTGTAGATAGAAATACATACCGGTATGTTAAGATATGATCGTATATTTCCCTAAACTTTATCATTTATTTCTTTAACTGCCTTCCGTCTAGAGATATTACTACTACTAAATTTTATTATATTTCACAATGAAAACATACGTCTCTTTTCATTATTAATTGTTCAAAGTTTAAAAAGCCGTGATTTAATACAAATGCCTTTAATTGCCTTTTAGAATCATCCAATCATCTTTTCAAATGCCCAGCCATGGACTCATCTACAGTGGCCAAGACATCCTCCTTTGTGAACTGTGTCAAACAGCTGCATTACAGAGTCATTGTGAACTTTGTCATGTAAATCTCTGTATAGTCTGTGTTGGAAAACATCTCTCTGATTCATCTAAAAGACACAATGTTGTTCCATACAAACACAAAACTTCTACTCCTAACAATCCAATATGCCCAATTCACGCCCATAAACATTGTGAACTTTTCTGTGAGAAATGTGACATTCCTGTCTGTTCTACATGCCTTTCCTCCAGAAAACATAAAGGACATGATTTATCAGATGTTCTACAAAAAATGAATTCCAAGACGAAAGATGTAGAAAAAGACTTGGAAGAACTAGAGAAAAGAATCTATCCTACTTATAGAAAAATTGCAGCAGATTTAAAGTCTGAAAAAGTTAACGTTGAAGAACATTACGCGGAGCTTACAACAGCAGTCAATAAACAAGGAGAAGACTTGCACAAAGAAATTAACAACCTTGTCTTCAAAAGAAAATCTGAAATAGAAGAAATGAAAGTTAAACATCTCACTATTCTAAATAAACAGGAGAATGAAATTAAAGGAAACACTGCTAATGTATTAAAGACTATTCTTCAGCTGAAAAAAACACTGGCTTCCGATAATAATCTCCTAGCATCTTCATACGAATCCAGAAATTTTGAATTCAGAAATTTACTTTCTACAGTAACCATTTCATTACCAAATATTTCTTTTCCTCAGATCAACAATGAAAAGCTTAATGAAATGCTTGGTTTTCTGACAGCATCGTCAATTGAATTAGCAAAACATGGTTACACAATGAAAACAGTAGATGCTGTATCTTGTCCTCTGGTCAAACCACTGCTTGAGGAACCGGAGCTCATCACCACCTTAGACACTGGCTACGATGAATTAAACAGTGTTATTTATCTCGGTAAAAATAAAATATGGACATGTGGGAATAACAAAACAATGAAACTCTTTAACCTCCAGGGGAAACGACTAATGTCCATTAAAACCAACTCAAGGAATACACCATATGCCATAGCAGTAACAGGAAGTGGAGATCTAGCTTACACTGATTATGGTACAAGAACTGTAAATATAGTAAAGAATAAACATACGCAGGAAGTAATTAGACTACAGGGGTGGAAACCTTGCAATATATGCAGTGCCTCCTCCGATGAGCTCCTGGTTACTATGGATAGTGATGATAGAAAACAAACAAAAGTTGTCCGTTACTCTGCCTTCAAAGAGAAACAAACCATTCATTTTGATAGTGAAGGTAAACCCCTGTTTTCATATGGTTTCTTCAGTAAATACATCTGTGAGAACAGAAACTTGGATATCTGTGTGACTGACTGTGATGCCGCTTCAGTAGTGGTGGTTAATAAGGCAGGGAAACTCCGATTTAGATACACTGGTAATTCCTCTACTGAAAAGGAATCATTCTATCCATTTGGCATCACAACAGACAGCCAGAGTCAAATTCTGACAGCAGATTTTGTCAACCACTGCATTCACATCCTTGACCAGGACGGACAGTTCCTCTCTTACATTGATAACTGTGATCTATCCTATCCCTGGAGTTTGTGTGTAGACAACAGAGATAACCTCTTTTTGACTGAGTATGGTATTGATACGGTAAAGAAAATCAAATACATGTAAACTGTGTAAACATTTATGGCTGACTTAAGATGAACCATATAAAAATTCAAAACCTTGCAATCTCCATACTAGCAGGAAGAAGTAGTGTAGCTTAGTAATTTTATTGATAGATTCATAACCTCACTATCATTTTGCTCTCTTTTTTTTTAAATAATGTATTGAGTTGCAATTCAGACATAAAATCATTGATTATGCTCATAACGATTGAAACATACAGTTACAAAAAATAATTTTCACGTTTGAAATTTAATAGATTGATGACTGACACTCGTACCTATATATGTATTCTTCGCAAATACGACATCTTGAACAATTCAGCTTATGCAGAATTTTTCGGGGAGTGTTCTGACATATGCGCACGATAACGCAAAGCGTCCAACGTAGCCTGGCGTTTGACTACAGATTAACTTATGTATTGTGTTATATAATCCTAAACTGTTTAACAGGCGATATATCGCGTAATATCGAAACCAAGGGTTGGCATTCACATTTTCCTGTATATAAATAGTCAACAATGCGTGCTGTGTGCGGTCACACTATCTCCTGCTGGTTGCTGTAAATAAATTGAAAAATGAAGTGATTAACATGATCATCAAAGTAGCGACCACCGGTAAAAATTACATTCATTATCACCAAAGGATTCTCAGGATGTGATGTGATTCAATACAAGACCACGAGGCGCCCTTCCCAAAATTGATCACGGTGAATTACACAGTCGTCAATTTAATTCACTTTGGGAGATGATAAGCTGCAAAACGACCGTCACTGATAACGACATGAAATCTCGACTCGCATGTTTACAGAACCTCTGTCCAATAGATAAACGACGATGCGCTTGCAACTTCACAATATGATGAGAAAAAAAGGCAAAAAGCGGAATGTCATAATACAGCCAGTCTCTTAAGAAATGCAGATTTACCCCATGATTCCTAAGCATGCTTCTAGTGGCAAGGACGGCGAATGGAATTGATTACACAAATAATGATATGTCCCTAAATATATATACATCTTGCCGACTTTACATCACAAGTGAGCGTCTTGAAAGTAAGCGGCCCTGAACGATTCCTGCATTTTTATTGATCCGTAGATCATTAAAAATGTTAACATGAACACCATCTTATTTTGTCACAGTGCACATACTAACTATTAGAATCACAAAGCGCATAAAACTATCATTTAGAATCATGTCAGACATCTCTCAATCAGAATTGGGTTTCAAGAAACCCTTTTTTATTCAATACAATAATTACTATTTGCACTAATCATCAGTTGCTTAAGCTGGGTAAGCAAAAAAAAAATATCGACGAATCCACCACGATATTTGATAAATATATGTAAGCACTTCGCTTATAAGAATAAATTCAAATTAAAAAATTCATGCACTTTTATGTGTTTTTTATTTACATTTTATATTTGCTAATTCATAATTACTTTTTTTTCTGCTAGTACTGTGAAATCAAAAATTTTCGAGGTGCTTTAATTTTCGTTGTTTTCAAGGTTTGAATAGATCCACGGATTCATGTCCACTACGAAAAGTAAAAAGATTTGTTCAAAACTACTAAACAAATTTTTGTCCACGAATTCAAATCCCCACGAACCAAGAATTTTTCTTTAAACCACGAAAATTTGACCCCACGAAAATATGTGATTTTATCGTATATGCATGAATTTAAAGTTTTTATGGCTTAAAGTTTATATGAGGAGTAAGGAACAAGAAGACATAGTTATCTCAATGAATAGATAATAGAAATCAAAACTGTGTTTGGTGTGTAAAATGTATAAATATGATTATAAATTCAGAACAACCACATACATTTGTAATTTTAGAAGGTAACTTGGTTGAAAGATATAAATAACTTCACAACTCATCGTTCATATGAAAAAATTCTTGTCGCTATATATCATTATTGAGTAATGAAAAGTATCGTTAGTTTTGTAACAATATTTTAATAAATGCCAATTACAAAGACAGTAAGAGTGATCATCACCTGATGACCAATCAAACATGCTTTGTGCTCCAAATCCTTGTCATCAAGCAGAAATAAAGGAAAATTCTGTAGACAATTCAATGTGTAAATAATGGTCTTAGAACTGGTAAATGCACATGTATGTAAATAAATTTAGTCAACATTTGATTATTGATAAATTGTATTTACTTTCAAGGTCAGCGTATTGGTGATATCTAAAATACTTCTTGAAAAAGTTTTGATTTGTAGGGCATGTTTTAATTTATCATAGGAATTGAAAATGTTCCCATAAAAACAAACTTAAAACCGATCGAGTAGACGCAGTGAATCGCACGATATTTCTGAGAATTATTATCTTTCGAAATTTAATTCTTAAATATATTTTCAATTAACAATAACAACAAGAATTAATATTTTTACCTTATAGAACAATAATCAGGTGACTTTAAACAAAGCCTGGAAACCCTGGGAAAATCTGTTAATCTCTCTCTCTCTCTCTTTCTCTCTCTCTCTCTCTCTCTCTCTCTCTCTCTCTCTCTCTCTCTCTCTCTCTCTCTCTCTCTCTCATAAAGAAAATTACAGAAAACGTATGTGTTGTAAAACTACTGCAAAACTCGTTTAGTGCAAACACGGATATAGCGAATCTACGGATAAAGCGAAGTCATCTTGGATCCCAAGCTATTCATATTTAATGACTTTCTCATACAGTTATAACAAATTACAGATATTGCGGAGTTATTTCCGAGGTCCAGGTTACTTCTTTATAACTAAGTTTTGTTGTACATGCATCTATTAGAATCTGTAAAAAAAAACAAGATGTGTGTGTGAAACACTGATGCCTCCGTATGGCAACATAGTGAAGGTTATGGTTTCTCAAATGCAGATCTGGGTCAAGGTCAAAAGATTTAAGTTGTTGGTTTCTAAGAAAAGGCCTTGTCTCAAAGATCATGTATGGGAAGTACGAAAACTCTGGCCCTTACCGTTCAAATGTTATGGCCAAGGTTAAAGTTTGTAAAAAATAGATCAAACTCTAAGGTCAAGGTCAAAGGGTCAAAGTTCTAGATATCCAATGAAAGGTCTTGTCACAAGAATTACACATGTGAAATATGAAAACTGTGGCCCCTAATATTCAGAAGTTATGGGCAAGTTAAAGTTTGTAAAAAGTAGGTCAAATTCCAAGGTCACGGTAAAAAGGGAAAGGTTCTTGGTATCAAATGAAAGGTCTTGTCACAAAGATTAAATTGTATAGTATGAAAGCTCTAGTCTTAACCCTTCAAGAATTGTGGTTAATGTTGTATTTTTAAAATAAATAGGTCAAACCCCAAGGTCAAGGTCAAAGGGTCAAGGTTCTTGTGATCCAATAAAAGGTCTTTTTACAAGGATAATATGTGTGAAGAATGAAAGCTCTAGTACATATTGTTCAAAAGTTAAAGCCAGGGTATTTTTTATACGTACGGAAATCTCTAAGGTCAAGGAGTCAAGTTGTTGGTATCCAATGAAAGGTATTGCCACAAAAAATACATTTGACAAGTATGAATGTCCTTGTATTTATTGTTCAAAAGATATGGCCAATGTAAAAGTGCAAAATTTTTGAGTTAAACTGGGTCAAACTCCAAGGTCAAGATCAAAAGGTCAAATTTGGTTGTACTGAAAGACAGGTCTTGTCACAAAGAATACACATGTGAAACATGTGCCATAGCGCCACTAAATCAAAAGTTATCGGCAAGGTTAAAGTTTTTGCGGACAAACAGACAGACAAACAGAGAGACAGACAGACAGACAGACGGACGGACACAACAAAACTATATACCCCCCGGAACTTCGTTTACGGGGGCATAAAAAAGTTACGTTACGATTCCGTAAAGTATCAAAATCACTCTATCATCAGTAATATCAAAATTGCTTATTAAGAACTCTGAGTCTCATAAAGTAATATCTACATGAAATCAAAGTACTGATACGAGTTGATGGTTGTTCAACCTTATAAATTGAACACTGCTTCATTGATAAAGAAATGAAATTGCCATTTAAAAATAGCAGAAATTTAGATTTCCATTTGATTTCTGATGTCAATTTCATGAGATAACGCACTGTATTAAATCCCATAAGCAATTAATGTCATGAAATAATAAGGAAAGCATGGTTCTTTTTACATTATACATTTATTGAGTATTATTGTCCTATTTTAACAAATGAAATGACACGCTTTTTCATAACTATCATGGTACAACAGTATCTGAATGTCCTTAATGTGGATACAGCAAATGTATCCCTTTAAAAAAAATACTTTTTATAATAATCAATTTGGCAATTACTACTATTATCTTGTCATATAAGATTTTTTAACATTGCAGTCTTCCAGTTTGAATGTGTAAAAGCACAATATACAGTAAAAATACAAGAAAATGAATTTTTTTAGAAAGAGAAAAACGCAGTCACAATTTTGTTCATAATTTTCTCATAAGTGTCACGAGCATTAAGAATGCAAAATGTGTAGGGGAGGTTACATTTCTCCGGAATGAGAAATTAACCAACAAACCCCCAGAAGCAGTGAAAAAGGTTTCGTAAACAAATCCTTCCAGGTACCTTTATGCTCTAACCATTGTTGTTTATACTTCTAGAAAAATAATTAATTTTAAATTCTAATTAAAACAACATATAAATAACAAGTAAAATGGAAGATTTGAAGGGTATTTTATTTATTATGACATCTTAAATGTAAATCATCATCTTTCCAAAGCAATAAATTAAGATCACTTGAATTCCAATACTCTGTAGGAATTCAAACCACTTCTTTATACAAAATGCTTACAAGACTGTATTAGCAACACGTACACTGTCTACCTCTACTATCTTCTGAGAAATTGTTTGATGCTTGATGCACATCTGCTGCAATGCAAGAAATAGCTGAGGACTTTGCTTTGACAATTTTTTTTAACCTGATATTTTCAAGAAAATTTTGTCTTTTTTCTTTTTTGAGCCTTTGACATCATCAACATAATAATCTCTAAGATTATCAAAATCTCGATCTGA